TCCCCTCGCTACGCCACAGCATCTAGCAGACTTCATGCACACAGAATACCCTAAAAATGCCCATTGTTTTTATAACCCTTTGTACATGTCTTGCCTCGATGTGTTAATTTACATGTTAAATCACACAAAAAAAGGGACCGTGATCTCTTCCGAGGCTGCTTTTCTGAATTAATTATACACTGATCTCCAACACACCTGAAACATTTCCATCCCAGTTAAGAAATATTTCGATAGCATGCCTGTCACGGAGACCTTTCTTTAAACTTACGTAGAAGTTACAAATATAGCAATACAGATAGACTTATATTTGCAAAGCAGTTTGTCCTTAAAGTCAGGCCATGAGTAATTAAAATTTTTCTTTCCTCCTTTTCCTTTAAGTATAAAATTTAAAGAATACTACATTATCTCTTAATAATGCTAAAAACTAACATAGGAAGCGCTAACTTAAGCACGTAGGGCCTAAAAGAAGCTTATATCATGACAAGACTCAAAGGAGTGTTCATGAGGCAATAGCAAAGTTATTTTAGCAGCTGAATTAAGTATTTTAAAACTAATAATATGCCTGAAATAAAATGTGCATTAACTTACCTTGGTTAAAAGCTGGCATGAGTGACTAGTATTCCCTATATCACCCGTGCTGAAATTACACAGCAATCAAATCACTCAGGAAAGATGTGGTGATCCTTAAATGACCAAGTTTCTATTACGAGTAGGCATTTGGCTCCGTGCTGCAGACTGCTGCCATGCTTGGCAAATGCGGCAGATTCTGAAGCACGTGATAGTAGAACTACTTTGATCTCAACTTACCACCTCAAAATGCTGAAACCATGACCCATGGCTTTGCAAAAAAACTTGTTGAGTAAATGTGAAAATCATTTGGGGTATTTTTGCAACCAGGGATAAAAATGTTCATCTTCTTAATGAACAGGGAATATTTCTCATTAAAATCAAGAAATGAAGGATCTGTATCCAAAGACTACCTTTAGTGCCCCCTACCCCCTTTAGAGGATTCATGGTGGCATTAGTTCAAAGGTTTTGTTTACTTTGGGGGAGCTGCAGTAACTTTAAGCAGCCATCAGAAATCAACTGGCCAAGTGCTATTGTGGTTGCTGTAACTGTGTGCCCTGGCGGGGGGGAGGAAAAATCTGCTTCCTTCCTGAGGAGGGTCTAGCAGACCAGGGGTGCCTGACAATGGAGATGCACTTGAAAGCAGGTGGAGCAGGGCACTTGGGTGCAAGAACCTCATCCTAAATTGGATATGGGCCACACAAAATGGGGAGAGTTTCTTTCTCCCCACTCTCTGCCCCTTGGATTATATGACTCTTAGGGGCAGGACCTTATTTTAATTAACACTGCCTCTCGAAGACCTCACATAGGGCTTGCACATAGTAGGTGCAGAAAAAAAAGAAGGGCGCTAGAAAGAGAATGGAAGGCATTTGTTCAGTTTCTGGGCCTTAAAAAGTGGGGAGTAGAATGATCTTTTCTCTTGGTGCAAAGAGGCCCCCACACAGCCTACTTGAACTTGATGTTCTTTCCTACACCCAAATTGGCAGAGCTTTGTCTATCCATATTGTTTGACTTCTGGGGGGGATGGCGTGGACCCCTCCTAAGGCTTATGAGAAGCCTTCCAAGTATAGAAGCCAGTAAGAATTATAGAAGCCAGGGAAGAATTGCTTCTGTCTCCTGAATGTCTGCCCCTCTCCTAGGAGGCTATATAGGAACAGGACATGAATGGCATCCAAAGCACAACGTTTATGCAATCTCTATTCCTATATGAGAGAAGTTAGGCACATCTAATTTTTCCTAAATAAATCTCTAACTTTCACAAAGTTTTAGAGAGGAAAAAAATTTTTTGACATGTAGGACTTTAGAGACTCAGTGTAGTTGTTATCTCTAGAGTTAAATCGATAGCAATTGGAAAAAATAAATATATCAAAAGGCATAAGGCACATGCAATTATTTTCACAGCCTGAACTAACAAATGTCTTAGTGGGCAAAGACAATGTCAAACATTTGTCAAAAACTAATCCTGTTCAGAAATTTGCCAGGAAGAGCTCGAGATGCAATGGAAAAATGGTGAGGGCACTAGAAATGATTAGCTGCTGATGCAGAGGTTCTTGCTAGATGTATTTTCTCATGAATGACAAACCATTTTTGGTGGAAGCAGTCTATTCTTAGAGTTTAAGCAGTGCTTGGTAACTGTGTTTAACTAATATTCTGATTTACAAACAACATAATGGGATTCTAACTAATCCCCTTATGCCTTTTTTCCCATCTCTATAAACCTCAATTCGAACAAAGATTTCATTATGGAATAATTTTGCAGTGATATTTTCTTAATCACAGCTTTTTTCAAAACCTTTATATTTTAGTTAAACATGCATAGGTTTTCTTTCATTAAATAAAAATATAAGTGATTATCTCACTACAGACTTCATTTCAGGTGATTATTTTAATTCGATGAAAGGCAATGTTTATAAAGTTGACATTCTTTGTGCACAGGTAATTCAGTGGTAATGAATGTCAGGAAATCTCATCTCCTTGGAAACTATTCATAAACATTTGTTCATGCAACAGATTTTATTGGGTGACTACTGTGTGTGAGACATGAAGCTATGTATGCAGAGACTACAAACCAACCTGAAAATATCTGAAGTGATATTTATCTGCACACGAGAAGCGTAGTGTCCAACTATAAAGTGCCCACATTTTGTTTGTTTTCTAGCCTTTGAAAAACAATGTGTCTTTTTTTCTGCCAAAAAAAAAAAAAGTCAATTTAGCCCTTTGGGGGCCTAATCGAAAATCTCCGTTGGTGGTCCTGTGACTCTTTAAGCCTGAGACAAGGGATGTATAACCCAGCATTCCTATAAGCCCATCCATGCCCCTCCCCTACCCAGATGAGTCTCCTTCCTAAACCCACCAGGAAGCAGTGGCTGAACGTGGCTTGCTTTGTGGGTGGTGAAAACCCCAGCATGGGATGCCAGGTCCACTGGGACCAAGAGCTGAAGCCAACCAACATCCTGGGAAACAAAAAGATCTGCCTGTCCAGGGTACTAAAGCCAAGAAGCACAGGGCTGGGAGAGATCCTGCACATTATCTAGCTCTCTGTTCTCTTTTTTCAGATAATAAAACGAGACTCGGGGAGGTAGGGGATTTGTACACAGAAATCCGTGGTAACCAGCAGCTAAGATCTAAACACAGCTTCGTATCAATGACTGGATCAGACTCACAGACCCCATGCCTAAATAATTATTACCAGGCATTAGGTCCAAACAGAGCTGGGGGGTCCAAACCAGCTGTCCTGCTCACCAGGTATAACGAATATCATGGGAATTAGATCCCATTAAGTATTAGGCTCTGTAACAATGCTGATGATAGGAACTACTGAAGCAAGGAAACACTAGCATTCCATCAACACCTTCCCTACAGCTGTGAGACTGTGTGGGCAATCCCCAATACAAAACACGTTGAGGTCCTGGTTCTGTTGCCCTTGGCCAGGCTCCAGGAAGAGCCTGAGTCTCCGGGGAGAAACAAAATCGGCGCTTCTCACTGCAGGACTCAGAGCATCTGGCGCCGACCAAGAGAGGCGCTCGTGCGAGACTTTCCCGCTCGCCTTTGTGCTTGGACTGCCTCTGGCGACCCTGTCAGTCTGGACCCCTCCTCGCGCTCTCAAATCCCCGAGGTTCACGCCTAAAGGTTGTGGGGAACTCGCGCTGCCCAGAAGCACCTCCACGAGGCTACTCCCAGCTGAGCGGAGTTTCATCTGGAGGCCTCCCTAGCTTGACAGCAAACCCTGCATGTTGGCACTTGCGCGCTAGTTTCACCAGGGATCTGGCTCGGTTCACCCGCGTTAGCCCAGCTCCCTGCTCAGCTCCCAGACAGAGCGTGGGGGCTTTCACCCAGCCTTCGCGGGGGCTCCTCCTCTCCTGAGGCAATACCCCTCGTGCAAACGGCACTCCTTCCGCTGCGGGGCACCTGGTGCCTGGATCCCAGGCTGATTCCAGGGGGGCCCCCGATTTTCACCGCGTTAGACCCAGCCGGAACCCCTAGAAGCCGCACGCTGGAAGCCTCGCCCTACCCCCGTGGGGTACCCGCCCTCCCTACCACCACCGCGCGCCAGGATGATGGGTGGGCGCGTGGGAAGTAGATAACCGGGTCTTGAACCCCAGACCCTTGAAAATAATTTACCACGACGCCGGACAGGAAGGTCAAAGGCGAACAGTGAGACCCGCGGCCTTGTAGGCCGGCGGGAGGTGATGCAATAGGGGTCAGGAGGGAATGGCGGGGGGCGGGGGACGGCGTGATCACGAGGAGCGGGGGATGGGGGTGGAGGCGAGGGGAGTTCGGATCTGCAGGTCGGCACTGGGACGGCGGAGCAGAGAGGAGGCTGGGGACCAGCCAGCCGCGTGCTGCCCCACCCCCCCACCCCAGCGCATTCCTGGCTGCAGGCGTCACGAGCGCCCCGCTACCTGCGCTCACTTGACTCTCCCCCCACCCCCAGCAAGGGCGGGATCCGAACGTAACTGCGTCGCTTCAGGGATTTTCTCCACCTCCCACTTTCCACCACCCCAGCCGCGCTCCCCGCCTCCCAGAAAATCAGCAGGTTAGATCCTGGAGGGGTGCCCGCCGGGAGCCAGGTGGTTCCGAGGCGGCGCACACATCACCCCAACATCAAGACACCTTGGTGACTCGGGCACAGCCCCGCGAGCCAATTGCTCCCAAGCCACCAGGCTACAAACGGTTCCCACCGCGAGGTCACCCTGCGGGCACACCACGCTCTTTTCTCCCCACTGCCACCTCCCGCCCCCACCCAGAATGGACACATTTTTCAACGAGCAGGGACCTCGGGAATCCCTCGGAAAAGGCAACGCTAACCCAGGCAGAGCGCTGGTGGCGCGCCGGCCGGTGCTGAGAGCTGCCAGGCGAGGTCCCGAGACCCCAGCGCACCCCGGAGCGCCTGCAAACCCGCCCCAAGCGCCACGCGGTCCGATGACTCTTACCCGAAGTGTCCCACAGGCTCAATTCTATTCTTTGTGTGTCGATTTCAAAACTGGCCGTGTAATTCTCAAACACTGTAGGGACGTAATTCTGGACGAACAAAATGGACAGAAGGAAAGAACGCAAAGAGGTTATCTTAAAATGTACGACGCCTCAGTATACCCTCTGCAAAACTGCATCCTCAATTTAAAAATTAAAAACAAAACTCTGGCACACACCAGGTCACACACTAAACAGGCGGACCTTTCCCTAAACCCCTGTCTGACTCCCCACGAGCCCCACCCGGCTCTCCAAGACACGAGGATCCAAATCTCCCAACCCCAGGTTTTGCACACATGACCGGACAAGTTTCAGAGCTAACAGCAGAATGTGCAGGCGCGCCCCAATTCCTAAACGCTTCCTGCCCACTTTCCCTCTTTAGGCAGTCTAACCCGGAGGGGGGGGGGGTGGTAAGGAGTGAGAAAAATGGATTTTTAAAAAAATGGGTGAAGGGGGAAAAGCAAACGGAACCCCACCTGGAGCCGGGGGACGCCGCGGGCTGCCCCCTTCTCGAAGCCCCGGCCGCCACACTCACCTCGGGGAAGCAGTCCTTGGCGAAGACGTGCAGCAGCGCCGTTTTCCCACACTGACTGTCTCCCACCACTACTATCTTGCATTTCACGTTCTGATTAGGATCCATGATAGATTTACTGGATAATTTCTGGCTGGCTCTTCTCTCCTTCATTGATCTTGTCTTATTTTCTCTTAGAACAGGAATTTTCTCTTAAGAGGAAAAAAATATATATTTCTCTCTATATAAAAAGCAGCTATAAAAATAAATCGCAAGGCTGGTGGGAAACCCCGAAGCGCGGCGCAGACGAGGAGAGCTGGAGGAGCAGGGCTCCTTACTCCCCTTCAACAAGTTTTATGCTTGACTCCACACCACACTTCCCAAGTCCAATTCCGATCCGACTGCTTTGTTTCACGCTCTCTGCGCGGCTTTATACGCTCGGCCTTCCAATCCTCTTCTTTCTCAATGAGAGAAGGAAACTGATCCGCCTCCTCCCCTTTTATGGAGCCTGGGAGCGAGCGCTGTCTGGTTACTTGGGGACAATGTAAACAGTGCGCCCTCTAGGGTGGCCGTGCGGGATCTATTTTCCAGACCAAGGCTCTGGGACAACTTGAAGATTCCAAGGAGCTTTGTTGATGGACGAGACTCCACAAATCCAGGAGGAGATTGAAAACTGAATGTGTGTGAATATTGATTTTTACTAGAATTCTTTTAAAAACATTTTAATAAGGACTGATCTACAGAAGCCGCATGAACATTTATGAGAGCAAAAACATTTGTCTCCCAAGTTAAGACATCCTTATAAAACATAGGAAGCAAGTCTTGGGTGGGAAAAGGTTAAATGGTTGTTTTTTGTAGAAAAAATGGTTTGTCTATAGACCATAAAACAATAGCTAAGTCAGGTTGTTTCAGATGTGGACACTGGCTTGCCTGGGTCACAGTAACAGGCTGGCTTCTGAAGCCTGTTAGTTTCAGTCACTCAGAAGGAGGAAGAAAGATTTTGAGGTGTGTGTAGGGCACATGGGAGCAGAGAAGAAAGAAAATGGAGGATGTTAAAAAATGAGTGGCAAATGCCACTGGAAATTCAAGCCTACTACACTGGGGACCCAAGCATACAAGGTCAGCCATTGTTCATGTTGCAGTGAGGAGACTGGGTAGGAGGGATTCAGATCCTGCCCTTCATTCTCTTTATCAGTAGCCTTATCCTTCCTGGGATGGAAGCACCCTAGGCTGGACCCAGAAAACATTATGCTTAGCTGAAAAACTCAGGTACAAACCTCCATACCTCCCCTCCCCCCATCCATCCCTCCACTCAAAAGTCTCAGAGAGGACTAAAACTGGCCCATGCATTTGTTTTCTTTTTCTTATGAGAAGTTCTCCCCGCCCCCCTCCCCCCAATCTTTGTCCTGTGCTCCAAATTGCCAAGAGCTTTCAACTATTACTGGTAAGGACATTGGCAGGAACCGACTTAAAGGTTCCCCTATGAAGATTTCTAGGCTTGTAAATGAAAAGGAGATGAGGTAAAATACCAGGAAGATTAGTATGGGGAATGAAAAGGCCCGATGAAAGGTGGTTAAAAGCACAAATGTAAATATTAGACTCTATGACCAGGAAGTCTCAGGGGTCCAAGGATGGTCTCCTCTTCCTTTCAGAGCTGAGAAAACTGGATCCTGACAAAGGAAGACCCTGACGTGGACTCTCGGTCCACACCACGGAGGCTGACCTGCAGAGAAGAGGATCGCTGGCCCTGCTCAAGTTCTTAAAGCGCATTGGCCAAAGCTTGTTCTGCAGAACTTTAGGCCTCCTCACACACAAGGTGCCATGGCGCAGCTGGTGATGGAGGCACTGTGCCCATAGCACTCCTTGAAGATGTACCAAGCACTTTGACATGTTGCAGACAGAAAAACATCTTGTAGAAAAGTAGCCTATTTGACATGATTTATTTAACCCAGCATCCCCAAATCAACTTAACGACAAGACTCTTTTATCAATTTATTTGCTTGTTTGTTTGAGAAGCAATGAGCATAGTGGTTGGGGGCAAGAGATCATGGAAAAGGTATATCTGGATCCTAAACTTCATATTTTCTAGCTGTGTGACCTTGGGTGAGTTATTTAATCTTTCTAAGCCTTAATTTCATCATCTGTAAAATAGGAGTTATAATAGTAATTATGAGGAAATGTAAATGAAATTTGCAGATTAGTTTCTGGCCCAATAAGGAATCATGAACCCATTTCATATTTGGTGTGTAACTCTTATCTGCACTTCTCAGAACTACTGAATGTGTCTTGGGAAATTCTGGCCTCATTAATGGCCTCGATAATTGGAACTGGGAGAATAGATCCACCCTATTTTTCCTTCAGATTTTTAATTTAGGATGTTGCCCCTTTCCAGAGATATGATTTGACCTTCCACATTCCTGAATTAATGTAGTCTGTATGGTTAAACCACTCAGTCTAGCAATAATTATCAATTATTAGTGATCGGCTGACAAGGACTAGGATAACTGTGCAGCTTACCACGCAGGTGGGGACACTGAGAACAACATGAATATGTCAGAACAACAGTTGTAAACAGGGTCTGTCCCAGGCAAAATGAGAGGCATGATCACTTTACCTAGGAATAATCTGGAATCAGATTCGATGAGTATTTTAGGAAATCAGGTTACCCGAATGTCCAGGAATCTGCCAGTTGCTGAGTGAAATTTTTGAAGGATGTATAATAGAGTAGAAAATCAGCCGCCTGACGTCACTGGGCTTTGAGTCTCTTTAAGGTAAGAATTTTTTCTTTTTCTTCTTTGAATCCCTACTGCTCCATGTGGGTGAATATTCAATACATATATATTTAAATTTATTTAGCATTTAGTTCAAATATTTATTAAGCACCTGCTGTATGCCAGGCACTGTTCCAGGAACTGTGAATAGAACAGTAAACAAGCCAGACCTGTCTGCTGTTCTCACGGAGCGCGCATTCAAGACAAGAGATGCACAATTAAATAAGGAATCAAGTACACAAATAAGAATGAGTGCTCTAAGCTCTAGGAAGAGAAAACAAGATGGCATGATAAAGCATAGCAGGATGGGGATTAGGCACGGCAGCCTGGAAGTGTCTCTTTAAAGAGGCTGAGTCTTCAATGACGAGAACAAATCAGCCATGAGAAGTTTCCGCGGAAGGCAAGGGAACAGATAGTAAAAAGGTTATGTGAAGGGAGAGAATTGGGCAGGTTTAAGGAACAGAATTCAAAAGGCCAGAGTGACTGGAGCCTACTGAGGGAGGGAGAAGCTAAGTAGGGGAATAAAAGGAAGTAGGTGGGGACAAAATAATCGGGCAATAGAGATATGGTCATGGAGTTCGGATTTCATTCTAGGGTCAATATCTGGTTAGACATAGGTGGGCTTGAAGCAGGTACTGACGTTTACTTGGAAGGAAGGAAGGGAGGGAGGGAGGGAGGGAGGGAGGGAGGGAAGAGAGGGAGGGAAGGGAGGGAGGGAAGAGAGGGAGGGAAGGGAGGGAGAGGAGTAAGGGAGGAAGGAAGGAAGGAAGGATTCCAGTTCTGAGTCTGCAGCTGTCACTCTGATAGCTGAATCCTTGATGAAATTGTTCATCTTTAATGAGATTTTCAGATCTAAATAATACCTAAAGTCCTAGAAAAGACTAGAATTTTAGACTGCAATGAAAGGTTTTTCCTAAGAAAAACATTCATTTGGAAGATGTTAAGCCCCATCCAGGGGATCATACAGTGGTGGTTAGAAGTAGGTTTACAATTGTGAATACACAAAACACTGAGTTTATTTTTGCATTATTATTAATTAATTAATTATTGTATTATTTATTATATTTATTAACCTACTTTTACCCACCCCTGTATATTACCTAATGTCCTTCCCTTTGCTATTCTTTCTGGTTACCTTCCTTTGTCTTCCTATTACTTTCTCCTCTAATTTACCCCCAGGTTCAAAAGAAGAGAGAGAAAAAAAAAAGCAGACATGTCAACATAGATTGGTTAATAAACCATGTGTATTCAGCATTCAATTTTCTGAAAAGGTTTGAGTTAAAAATTTTTTCCTTTGTCATTAACCCTTTACTTATTAGGGGGAAGTCCCAACTCCCACAGAAACTGCATCCCATCTGACACAGAAAAGGTTGAGAGGATGAATTGAGAATGGCCATCTAGGGATAGCATAGTACTGATAAACAAACAATGGCAATTCCTTCTATGAACACTGGACTACAAGTCCGGAAATGTGTGTTTAATCCAGGCTAAAAACTAAGGCACTCTCTGATCTTGGGCAAACACTGACTGAATAATTTTCCTTAGATTCATCCTTACAAGAGAATTGTAATATCTGCCTCCTTTGAGTTGCTCAATAAGGCTGCTTAAAAAATCACATGCCCTATACTTTTGAACATTCTTTTTTAGAAACACACTAGAGACAACCCCCTTTTCAGGTTAAGTGTATTTATGGAGATTTCAGCTCTCGGTGGAATATTGTAAAGCATCATCTTAATTGTTTATTCACGGTTGCCTGTCTCTCTTCAGACTCCAGCAGAAGTGTTTGAAGAAGCAGGTGCACCATGAAGAGAAAGCACAGGTCTCTTACAGGCATGATCAACGAAGCAAAGAGATGACACAAAAACAAGAAAACATGCAGGATGCCTTCACAGATGTTATGTCAGAAAATATGGATATAAGTCATAGGCATTCTCTCTGAGAATTTAATATCATGGTGGATATGACATAGCTTCAAATGCCGGATGTTCAATGTAATGATAAGGGCAGAGTGTAGACTTGTAACCTGTCTGTACTGAGGAGTGCCAGTTTCACAATTGTCTGTTCATTGGGATGGTCATTCGGCTGGCCTGGTGCCCGACCAGTGTGGCTCAGTGGTTGAGTGTCAACCCATGCTCCAAGAGGTCACCGGTTCGATTCCTGGTCAGGGCACATGGTTGTGGGCCAAATTCCCAGTGAGGGACATGCAGAGGTAGTCAATCGATGTTCTCTCTCATCGATGTCTCTCTTTCTCTCCCTCTTCCTTTCTCTCTAAAATTCAATATGGAAAACAAAAGTTTTTGTTTTTTTTTAAATTAAAAAAAAATGTAGTAGGCAATTTTTTGGGAGAAAGAGGAATTGAGGGAAAAAAGCTTCATAAAATTTAATGGATTGAACTTATTATTTGGGAAGAATGTGTTCCCTTGAAAGAGATTCTTTTTTCTTTATCTTCTCTTAAAAGTGTTGCTGTTTGCCCTGTCAAGGGCATTCAGATAATCTGTGGAGGCCGTTTGGTAAGGGTATTCCAGTCTAAGTCACAGAATTTGGTCTTGTTTTTCCTCATTTCCTGATTGACTGCTGAGGAATGGACTTAGTCCTCACCCTTTAGCCAACAGGAAATGACACAGCTGGGTGAATGTTGACTAATAACTCATTGCCCAGTTGATTATCCTTTTCTTTG